TAAGAAGCATAAATAATTAAAAGGTTGGATTAATTTACACTCAATTAATTACAACATGTTCTTTACTGTTAAGACGAATCTCATCTTTATAAAAATAAAGCAAGTTGTTTCGAATATAAGTAAAAAACATTATTGTAACTGTTTTTGACGAGCCTGTACAAGATAAATGTATATAATCCAAGATTGGAAGGGGAGAGACTAATCGACCATGGCGTCCATATGGTAGACTTGTTTGTATATATATTGTCTATGTGTTATTTGATTGAACGACTTTATCAATTATTTGTGTGCTCTTGTTACGAATAGTTATTGATCATCAACCTCTAAACGTGGAGGCTTGTTAAATCACGTAACCGAACAAATAAGCGTCAACATAGGTTTAAGATATTTCACAACCTCTACAATTTAAATATTACAGCATTGAAAATCCACAATTTAATTCAAATAAATTTACCAATAAAGCCTGAGACTCACTATTTGATGCAGACCACATAATATAACAATACACATTTGTCCAAACAAGAGAACAATATGAAAAGGGACATAACCTTGGTGCAATTCTCTGTAAGGAAAATGGCCTCACTTTAAACTGTGGCATAAGCCACATTGCAGAGAATAAACACACTCTGCAACCAACAAAAAAAAAAAAAAAATGAATAAATTGAAATGGACAATGACAATTCAGCATGCTACACACACATACACACACACACACACACACAAAAGACATTTTTTCATGCTATGTACAAAATTCTAACATAATAATATGCAATATACTTGGGCTCTGCAACAAAAATCTTTTTGTTCTTATTACAAAACACTAAATTATGAACCTTCTATTCATCCCTATGAACAAAGCTTGGGCACAGATTTCGCATTACTATGGCTCGGCACTCTCGATCTCATCATCTTCATCATGTGGTTTTGCATTTTCCTGCAAAGATTTTCCAATTCCACCACCCTACACTGCATGCCCTGCAGATGTGCTTTGAGCTTCTCGTTTTCGTCACAAAGACTGAGCCTTTTAGCGTAAAGTACAATCTGCTTGGATCCATCGTCATTCGTCTCAAAATTAGGTTTGGGAGAAAAATCGGCAAATGTTGATTGATTTGTGTTTTGGAGCAAGCTCTTGAGCTTGTGCTGTTGTGAGACGAGGGCTTGAATTGCGGATTTTGGAGGAAAAATCGGATTTTGTGCGAAGTGGTTAAGTGCTTCGGGAGATAGCTTCTCGTAATTTATTCCAAGACAGACTTTCATCTTTTGTTCTTCGGACAAGCTGGTGTGAACCTGCGTTGTGAAGATATTAACTAACTAAAATTAATCTTGGCCGTTAATTTGACTTAACATTTACAAAGAAACCGAGTAAAATGCTATGAAACTTTGAAATTTCTTTTCTAGGAAAATCAAATTCGATAAATTACTAGCATTTGAGTATAAAAATCTAAATTACCTCAAAATATAAGTTTACTGCATGGTATACTCCATCACAAGTGTTTCGTGCCGAATCGGGTAGAGCCTTAATTAGAGCCAAGAACTTTAACGGCTTCAGATGTGGGTCCGGAGCAACTTCATTTAAATACAAATCCATCAAACCCGCAACTTTTTTCAGCCGGCTCAAAGGCACACAACAAGCTCCGCGGCTAGTAAATGACTTCAAAAATCGAATAACTAAATTCACATCATAAAGGTACATACTCTTTCGAGCTGCACATGGGACGAGCAGATTATCCAACGTTGCAAGATCTAGTTGCGAACCGATCATATTTTCTAATATCTCCTTGCAAGACTTGCTCAAATTCAGGTTCGATCCGAGTCTAAGTATTCCAAATAAACTCTTGTACGGTACAGACCTCGTATCCAACGAGTTGAGCATCTCAACAACCGTTTCAACTATTCTGATTCTTTCATCCACGGACGAAGCAGAAGCAAATCTCGATTTTTGGTAGTTAAATAGAAATCTACTAATAATTCCATTATCGAAGTTTTTGGACACCATTAATTTCACCAGCTTTTGGATTAAATACGCGTGTAATGCCGCAATATCCTCGAACCACCAAGTGGTTCTGAAGGTACCATTCTTTAAGCTCTCGGTACTCCTCGTGTCTGACGATAGACGGTTAACCGATAAGCTATCTGAAGAGGAGGAAATTGAAGGACACGGGCTCGTTTGGAAAGATGACACGACTCGTCCTACAAGAGAATCCAATAATTTGTCGATTATGCTCAATGAACTAGCTAATTGAAGTAGATTTTCTTGAATTTGCTTTAAAGCCACAAGAAGCTCATCCCAAGACCAGTAACAAACTTCTTCTAGAACTTTCTCTGTCTGCTTGCAGAGGTTTTCTGTTCCGAAAGCTGAATTTTTCATCTCCATGTAATGGGCGGCACAAGTGAGATTCGAAATGTTTAATGGATTTATGTTCACTTTGCCATTGCTGTAGCAAAACCTTGCGACGAGCTCGAAGTTCGATGCGCCACCCGGGAAGTCGTTGAATATCACCTTTAGCCGCCCCGTCGGACCTTTTGACTTCATGACCATTTTTTTAATTTTTTCCGAATAGGAAGAAATTACTTTCTACAAGAAGAAAAACAAAGATTAGGAAATTATTGTGGTGATATATGATTTAGGAGAAGTCAATCAGGAAAGTTACAACAGAACTTACACAACACAACTGGAAAGAAGCTTTTACAAAAGTTCATAAGTATAAAACTAGTCAATTATTGAAAAGTAGGCCAGAAGATCAACTTGGGACCAAATGAGACAAAAGAAGAGGCCTAAAGTTGCATTGAGGCTGGCTATTGGCTAATTACAAAAACTGGTCCTGAGTTTTATCTTAATTACAAAACAGCCTCTTATCTTTTGAAATTAATTACATACATTCAAAAGTACCCCCTCACATGGAGATGTTTTGTAGGAAGTTGGGATTTTTGAAAATAAGTGGGTCTTCTTGGCAATTAAACAAAACCTATGGGGTAGTCTGTTAAAAATTATAGTTTCAGGAATGGAACATATATCACTTTTACTACCTTAACATCAGTAAACGCCTGCAATTCATGTATATAATGAAGTTTACTAGATTTTTTTTTTTTTTTTTTTGTCAAAACGATAGATTCATTAAATAAAACACATAATTACAGCTGGC